GAAGGAATGTTCCGATATCTACCATCTTTATAACAGATCTTGTGGTGATAGAAATATTGAGATGTGCAAAGTCGGAATAGAATCGGAATTAAATTTCACGTCATATGAATATTGTACCCTTTGTGGGGGATCGCTATAAGCCATCTCCGAACTCGATCTAAGATTGATAATAATATTATGATACACCAAGTTTGGACCAAATCAGACAGACATACCGTCAGACGGACGGACACCCCTAGATCCACTCCAAATGACCTGAAACGCATTTTGTCCAAAGAGATCTAAACCATTATTTCGATGAGGCACGTTTTGACCGTATCAAATGATATATAACCCTATGTTGTTATAAACACGACCAAAGAGATGATAAAAGTTTGTTATAGAGTTTGCATACACGGCGTTAAATAATAATTAATGTCTTTCACGGTTTCAAACCGCAAACTAGTTGGAATATCCAAATACGGAAGCTATAGAAAAATGTCTTGCCACCAGATCTGGAACCAATTACGAACAAAATATTCAGAGTTTTAAACAAATCCGTTAGAAAATGTGGCCTAATTCGTCAAAATACCGAATATCCGAAGCTATCGTTATAAAAAGGCTTGCGGTAAAATGTGGACTTACATATACCATGTTGAGCCACCGGAACAACCTTTAGATATCTAATTTGGTGAAAATGCAGTAAAAAATTACCGAATATCGGTTTGCATCGCTTTTTAAAGGCTGTACGAAAACGAGGACCTATAAAGGCAACGTTCTGCCACCAAATTACAAGTACCGTATATTAAACAAATGTAATAGGGAATGTGGCTAAAAAATCCACATACCGAATATTGGAAGATACTGTTATATGAGGAATATACGAAAACGTGGAGCGAGATAACATTTTCAATACCAATCATTATAGACGCCAAAAGTGCGTCTTAAACCCGTGTTTCGTAAAATCATATTTTGGCTCAATATGCAAAAGGTTAATTGTACTTATATATATGTAAATGAAAGAGTGTTTTGAAAAGGTACTTTTTGGTACATATTTCAACGACTACAGGAGTGAAAGCTCTGTATGACACTGGGCTCGTAAATAATCCCAAAACGAGTATTCTTACAAAACTTCAAAACGAAAGACCAGACATTGGACATTCAAAAGTTTTACAATCTTGTAGTCAAATTAATTTTTTTAAATTATTTTCATACACACTGATCTTGATTTTCCATCGACATCAACAAAAAATTAATTAACCACATTTATTCTAAACGAAAGAAACAGATTTGAACTGTTAAAGACTGTGAATTATTCTAATCTCGATTAGAATTGTATCACTCAAAATAATTACACTTCGTTAACCAAAGAAATTGACCCAGGGATAGAATATCATATCAATAAACAACCATTAAGTTGATAAGTAAAACATCGTTATCTTTTCAAATATATAACTCGCTATAATTTCTAAAATAAAAACTGTCGATTAGATAGGCAGACTTATTGAAAATTAAATTTGCAAAAGAATGAGCTTTGTTATCACAATTCCGATAAAAAACTGTCTAGGAACCCCCCTCAAGATAAGACACAGAATGCATATTCATTGGAACAACTCCTGACGAACCATTGAGTAATTTTATAGAATTATCTGCTACATTTCAAACATTTTCCCAGGCGTTTAAAAAAATATTGGCCTATTCTAAAAAGAGTGGGGTTGGGGGGGTTGGACTCATAATACGATTATCTCTTCAATAGAGTGAGTCTCTTCTTTGAAAAGTTCTTTCCAAGGTAAACAATTTAAATTTTCTTAGTATCGACTTTCAAGGAAGTTTCTATTTTTTTTTCTTTCACTTTTTTTCCTATCTTCTCCTCTTTCCCTTCTTCTTCTTCCACTTTAGTTGTCTTCTAATTGTTCAGTTTCTGCATGAGTTCTTAAAATGTTTACCTATTATCTTTTTTCTCATTCATCCAATGGCCATGTAAACAATCTTGGAACGGTCAAATGTTTACTCAGCATACATCAGCGTCATCATGGCTAGCTAGGCTCAAATATCATTAGTCCTTTTGTCTATGTGTGTGTGAGAGAGAGAGAGTGTGTGTATGTGCTTGTTTGTAATAATAAACCTGGCGTGTGGTAGCCCTCGTTTGTTCAGGGAAATCTGTTTACCTAGAATTTTATGCACGTTCGCATATTGTCTTGGAATTAGAAGTTGTCCTTATCAAATAAATGGGCAATGAATATACAGATTAAGGTAAATTTAATTTGGAAGTTAAGTTGAAATGTTGTTTTTTGTGAGGGAAATAAGGAAATACTTTAAGGAGATACAGGAAGAAAATAAGAACAAGTTTAAATTAAAAAATATATATTTCCTATAAAAATTTGAACTTAATTTGGTAGAAAAATTATGGTATTCGAAAGTCGGATCAACGCGGTTAGTAGATTTGCTTACAAGGTTTTTTCAAATGATTGTTATTTGTGGGGGAGGTGCCAGAAGGAGTGAGCATATACAGAGTGAGATGAAAAAACTGCAACCAACTTCAGACTGTTTTCATTTCTAAACCACTTGTCCGACAGCTGTTAAAATTATTCCAGTGACAGCTCATTATATTGCGAACAAAAGCTTTTTGGTGAGAATTTTCCAGAAAAAAAGTTATTCGTGATGGAATTCAAGGGTGATAGTGTGATTTCTTTATATTTGGCTAGAAAACCACAAGTGGCTATCGTTAGAGCACTCCAGCATTTAAATGTGAATAAATCTTTTGTGTCTGGTACTACCGCTCGTTATCGTGATACTGGTAGCGTAGCCTGACGTCAAGGAAGTGGACGGAAGAAAACATCAAGAAAAGAAGAAGAAGAAAAAAACATCAGCAGAAATGGTTCGAAAAGTAAAAAAGCGACTTGATTGAAACCCTAGTCGCTGTGGCCGAAAAATTGCTTGTGAGCTGAACATATCGCAATATTCCATTCGGCAAATATTGAAAAATGAGCTCGGGGTAAAGCCATTGAAATTCTAAAAAGTGAAAGAACTTACACCGCTACAGAAAGAAAATAGCCTCAAAAGAGGTAGAGGGTTGCTTCGCTTGGCCGAAAGTGGTGAACTGCCGAATTTGGTTTTCTCCGATGAGAAAACATTCGTTGTCCAGCAGTTTGTAAACAAACAAAATGATCGTGTTTACTTGCCAAAGAGGTCAGCTGAAAATGTGCACCTTCGGTTGACCACCAGAACTCAAGCGCCCGCTATGGTGATGGTGTGGGTCGCAATAACAGCCGATGGTCGCTCTCCGCTCGTATTAATCGACCGTGGCATCAGAATAAATGCCGAATATTGTCGTGAAAACATTCTGGAGGGTGTACTAAAGCCTTGGGCACGTAAACATTTTGGCCGCAGACTTTGGGCCAAAATCTTCGGATACTAATCCATTGGACTATTGTGTCTGGAGTATTTTAGATAGCTAGGTTGGCACTAAAAAATACCAAATTATCGATCACCTCCAACAAGCGCTTCTCCGTGAATGGGCCAAAATACCGCAGAGCAATATTCGGGCAGCTTGTGACGATTTCATTGGCCGTTTGAAGGCCATAATTCGTGCCATTGGAGCAAATCTAAACTAATTTAAAAAAATTGATGCTATTTCCGACATTTTTGCTTTAATTAATAACATTTAAAAGAAATTGTAAAAATTGTGGCGTTGGACTTTGTTGCAGTTTTTTATCTCACCCTGTATATTGAATTTTCCTACCTTAGTTTAAAAAACCTACGATATGCAGAGTTTGAACTTAGTCGTAGACTCCAACTGCTTTATTAATTTTTAAATTTGTTTACCATTTATGGCGAATGGTATCGGTGAGAGTAAACCGATGTATGCCAGCTTATATTGGGATGGACAATGTTTGAAGAAAATCGGAAACGAAATTTTTCGAGATTGTGAACTTTAGTGGGGGGTGGAGGAACGATGCTCTCTTTGGTCTATATGAGAGATATATTTTTGACAATTTCGAACCTTCGTGGGAGATCATGGGAGGACCGCAAAATGCTACCTTCCAACTCGATTTAACATCGATAAAAAATATTACGATATTACCAAGAATAGAAACTTTCGAGATACTCCGAGCGAGAGTTATATTCGTCACTAGTCGAACAGACAGGGCATGGTTAAATTCAAATATATTCTCCATATTTTTACTAGTAACTTCCCGCCAATTCTGCAGCGAAAAATCCCCTTTTAATTTGTAGATTCCTTCCAACAGTTCGTGTTAGGCCTTTTTCGTGCTCAAAATACACAATTTGCTCAGTTTGACAAAATGTTTTAATTACAAACAAACATTAAATAAAAAACTAGTTCAATGTGTCCATACGTAAACCCTTAAACCAACAGTGACCTCACTCCTTCCTTCACCCAATACCAAATTTAGTAATATTTAGTACGCATATCAAACAACATACACCTCTCTATCCAAGACACTAGCAGTAATCCAAAATTAGTACCATTTAGTACTTTTCGAATAATTATAGTACGAATTTTCAAAACTACCACCACAAGGTACCACAAGGTACAAACGGAGACGTCAATATAATATATCAGGATTTCAGATCTATTCCTCACCCGATACCAAATACAGTACTTTTTGTACAATTATAGTACACATTTCCAAAACCACCTCCATATCTCAATTCCAAACTAACTTCATTCATGCGAATTACTGTATTTTCCCCCATTACCTTATATGAATTCAACTCTTTAAATTGGTATTCCCTCCTAATTTCAAAATCTACTCCATCCTCCAAACCGTTTAATAATTTCTTTTTTTGGACACGACATGCACTCAAAACTGTCAACGCTTATGTCACCACACTAAAGTGTCCATCCACATTTCACATTTCTCACCATCAACCACAACTCTTCAACACACATTCACATATGAACATTTACTTATATCCTACTTAAAATGTCCTTTAAAGGATTTATCCATAAATATTTGTCATTCGCAGGCTAAAGTAGAAAATCGTGTTGCACTTACCCCACTAAATGATGTCGAAGATTCCGTTGTGTTGCTGCAAATTAAACGCATTTGTACGGTGATGAGACCTGGAAAAAAATAACGAGAAAGTAAAGAGTGACATAAGAAATCGTGTAACAAATGAGTAGTTAGGTATGTAAGTAAGAAAGTAACGAAAAATGGGATAAGAGAAAGACTGGAGTAATTGTACATACATTTGTGATACACTTTTTTCGGAAGAGAGATTTTGGGAATTATCAAATTGTTAGAGGAAACGAAAAACATTGACATAGGAAACATATAAGTTTAATATAGAGTATACGCGGTAAAGAAAAAATAGCATCATTATGAATTTGTATATGATTTCAAAACCCGTAAAATAGCAGGTCCTTATATGATTATTTGAGGTAGTTTAAAGGCGTGAACAAAAAATATTTTAGACTATGATTATAATTTAATTAATGCTAAACAGGGCATGAAAATACAGCCATGATGTGAATGTTTAAGGAGTGTCATGGTATATATAAAAAACGGGTAGAAATATGGTTGGGTGTAGAGGGTACGGTCTGACCTCATTTGGCCGAAATGGATGTTTATCTTAAACCCACCCATATATTCATATATTACTGATCCATTACTTTTCTCGATCCATTGCATAGATAGTTCGCAGCTTCTAGACAACTCTCGCTCATAACTGGCTTCCCTCCAATGGTAGCTACAGTGCTTTGCGCGTTCCCGCTCAAAGCCAGCTCACCGTCCCTAGCCAGTCCCCCTCGTAACCGGCTTCCGCTTATATCAGGCTTCCCGCTCAAAGCATTCACATTTAGTCCAAACTTAGTACATTGTAATATTATGTAAAACTTAAATCGAGTTCGGAGATGGGCAACATCGATCCACTCCTTCTGGAACCTCCCCCACAAAAGGTCAAAACTGTCATAGAAAATAATTTACCTCATAGAAAGGGATCAATATATTTTGAGAAGACTTTGCAAATTCCAATACAGGGTTGCCCATATTCGACGGACCCATCTGGCAACGCCATAACTTTTGACATGAATGTCACATCGCTTACTGACATACCGCGTTTGAAGCGTCAGTCCAAGCAGAATTTTACCATGAACTATTACACGCCACGCGAGCGCTCTGAAATAGTTGAAATTTATATTCAACAGAAGAAGTCAATTGTGAAAACTCAACGTGCTTTTAAAACATTAAAAAATGTGAGAAGTGCGCCTTCTAAGAACACCATTAAGCGTTTGTACGAAAAATTTTCAACTGGTAAAGCTCTTTCTAATCCGAAGAGGCCATATAAAAGTCGACCAAGGCGATCGGCCGAGAATATCGCTGCCGTACGAGCCAGTGTTGAGAGGTCCCCAAGAACATCCCAAAAACGCCGTTCTCAGCAGTTGGGCATGGCTCGGTCCACTTTACAACGGATTTTTCGCATTGATTTGCATTTGTTCCCGTACAAAATCAATTGACGCAAAGAATGTTGCCTGCGGACAAGCCTCGTCGATTGGAATGGGCCCAAAACAAAACATGGGTCCCTCGAATATGGGCAACCCTATATTTTGGTCATTTCCAGATCAGGTGCGAAAATGGACAATATAGGTCCACTCCATGAAGTACCTCGAACACAAAGGGTCAACATTTTGAATAATTATAAATTCTATAAAATACATTGCAATATTTGTAATAACACTACATCTGGTGTGGAGGTAGGATATATTAGTCCACTTATTCTGGTATCTCACCCACAACGGGTCAATAGCCAATAAATTCGTAAAACGAGAAATGAACATCCTACTCCTTTATAACTCGGCACATCTCAATATTTATTTCAGCACAAGACAAAGGATGAAGATGGAATACTACTCTCCTTCTCGTACCTCCCCCACAACGGATCAACATTTTAAATAATTATATTTCACGTAAACTGTGAAACAAGCGTCAGATTCTCCAAAAATTTCATATATCTCAATATTTTTACTAACAATAGTTCCTCTCCCACAAAGGTTCGCGGTTTACAGGGTGAGATAAAAAAAGTGCAACAAAGTCAAACGCCATAATTTTTACATTTTTCTTTAATTTTATTGAATGAAAGCAAAAAATGTCGGAAATAGCATCCAGACACAACGGATTGGTATCAGGAGATTAATGGCCACCAAATTCATTGGAAGTGTCCTGTTGGAATGTCCATGGTCTGCGGCCAAAATGTTTGCATGCCCAAGGCTTTAATACACCCTTCAGAATATTTTCGCGCTAATATCCGGTATTTATTCTGATGCCACGGTCGATTAATACGAGCGAAGAGCGACCATCGCCGGTTATGGCGACCCACGCCATCACTGGTGGCCAAAGGAAGGTGCACATTTTCAGCAGACCTCTTTGGAAAGTAAACACGATCATTTTGTTTGTTTACAAACTGCTGGACAACGAATGTTTTCTCATCGGAGAAAACCAAACTCGGCAGTTCACCACTTTCGGCCAAGCGAAGCAACTCTTTAGCTCTTTTGAGTCTATTTTCTTTCTGTTGCGGTATAAGTTCTTGCACTTTGCGAAATTTCAATGGCTCATTTTTCAAAATTTGCCGAATGGAATATTGCGATATGTTCAGACCACGAGCCACTGCGACGCGGGTTGCGATAAAGTCGCTTCTTAACTTTTCGAACCATTTCTGCTGATGTTGCTGTTTTCTTCCGCCCACTTCCTTGACGTGGGGCTACGCTACCAGTATCACGGTCACGAGCGATGGTACGAGACACAAAAGATTTATTCACATTAAAATGTAGGAGTGCTCTAACGATAGCCTCTTGTGGTTTTACAGCCAAATATAAAGAAATCACACTGTCACGCTTGAATTCCATCAGGAATAACTTATTTTCTGAAAATTCTCACTGGAATAATTTTAACAGCTGTCGAACGACTGGCTTAGAAATGACAGCAGTCTGAAGTTAATTGCAGTTTTTTTATCTCACCCTGTATAGTATTTCCTAGTACTTCTAGTACACTTATAGTTCGAATTTCGAAAAACCGACCCTTTTCTCACTCTGCACACCAACGTTGACCTATATGCAAATTTTCATGATTCTAAGTTTAGATGTTTCGCCTGGCCGTAAATAAGTTAGTACACACATTTTCAAAATACATACATGTTTTGTAATAAATGCAGTTTTTACTAAAATAGCTGTATCTCATGAACCAATACAAATACAGAGGGTATGATGTCGCCTTCCATATGATTTTTGCAGAAACAAAATCGGTTTACGCATTCCAGAGAACATCAATTACTAACACAACTTATTCTTTATTTATTAGAAAATAAATAATTTTCATTATTAATTTAAGCTATTTTTAAAATAGATTATTCTATATTAGAGATTCTTTTATTTCCCTCTCCAAAATCGTATAATGTTACCAGCATTGAACATTTTCGAACTCCTCCTGTTTTTTTGCAACATTTTAAGCTTAAGGCACACACAATTTCCAATGAAATCTCCCGTACGCATTGTCCCACGCAGCTATTTATTGTTTCAAACATAGTGTCCCCAATGGCATACTTATTATTCCGCATTTATCATCGACAATGCTAAAACGACAACGACGAAAATATCTGGCAGTTGTCATTCGAACACAGAACAATTTTCTGGAATTTCCCAACAAAACAAAGAAGAAAAAAACGGAATACTTATATAGGTCAAGTTAATATCAAATTGCCAGTATTTGTAATTGATGTTTGTCGAGTGGTATTTTGCCTTGGAGATGTATCCATGCGCAGCTATCTAACAAATGTCTATGAAATATTTCATTTCGCACAAAATATGTCCAGCCAGAAATAGATGCCAGTGACAAAACAGCAACAAAAAAAACGGAAAACATATTTGGTTGCTAAATTGACTCCCAGGCTTTAGTTTTCCCGCGGCAATCTCCACCCACCTCTCCAGGAAAAACGACATATTGTGATGTCCAAGTTATTGTCCGTGTCTACAGCTGTCACTACAAGCGACATTAATTGTCATTTCTTCAGCTGTCATATTTCCTACTCGTATCCAGGCAAGCGTTTTTGGGGTGTGTGTTTGTCAGCACCGAAGAAGATGATGATAAAGAAGATGACGTTGGTGATGATGATGATGACAAACACATCTCATAACTTCAATGAATTGTGTCGCCAAATGCCAACGAAAAACAAAAAAAATGAAATGAAACGAAACGAAACGAAACAAATCTCCAAGGAACAGAAGAAAATAATTCAACGACATTCGAAGTGATCCATTAAGCCTACTTTATGAAACACTCTTGATTAACGTCCATTGAGCAGCTGACAACAGTCCAGACGATGACAATAATGAAGACAGCAATTATGGACAAACAAATATTATTGGTCGGTCTGTTTTCAATGTTTTTGAGAAAATTTTTTTCGTTTTTTTGTGGAGAAGGTTATTAGAAATTAATGTCACTTTCATGCCAATTATATTAATCTCTTAAAATAGACACTCTGTTAAGGAGAGTTTAAAGACCGTAAAATGAAAAATGCCAAACGCTTATAACCCAAGAATTGGGATCGAAGGAAGGAGTACCTAAAGCTTACAAATGTTGCTCAACCTGATGAATGGGATTTGGGTACTCGTTTTTACCCCAGCACTTTACAAATTTTGAAAAAATCTTTGAATAAACTTTTAAACACTGAAAAATTTAGCAAAAATTTATTTGACATAAATATGACCCTATCTTTCGAAACATATGTATCTTTAAACCCTCCTCCCTTGAAGGGAACACATTCCAATAATTCAAAAAAATACATCGACAAAAATGTCCAGCATCAATCATCACAGTAACCCGCATTTAAAGCGTTGTCAATTTTAAATGTTTTGCTTTATTTTCCCCCAACAGTTTATAGCGACCCTTTCGTCGGATGGAAATGAATGTTGAAATGGCCGTTTGACATGTCAACAATTGCTTTTTTGTCATCATAAATCAAAAACAAAATATTTTTAGTTTCCCCCCAACTCAATAGTGTCGGAAATTCTATTTCAGTCAAATGTGGCTGTAAAAGTTCAAACGAAAACGCGAAAACCAATCCCCTTTTGGT